TGTAAAATCCCTACATTATTCCAGTAGCAACAACAGAGGGGATAAGCCAACAACGGTTCAATGCTGTTTGCTGCTCCCGTGTGTGTGAACATGGATTGTACACCGCCATCACAATGTTCCACATCAAAGGATCGCGACTTAAGCCCTGAAAAGTCGGATCAGCCCGGCTGTACATAAAACCCCCGGGAAAACACACCGTTTTTTCTACACCGCAGAGGTTTGTGTGTGGGTCCTCTCTGGGGACGTGCCGCCCACTCCCAAGGCCACGGACATGTTGGTACCGGGCCGTACGGAGTGGAGCGGCGGGGTGAGCCGGGCTCCTCCCCGGGCAAATCCACCTCATCATCCCTTCAGACACGGGAATAATAAACGGACTGTAAAAACCCATCCACAATACTCGAGGGATGGGGAGGGTGGCACTTCCCAACCTCTGACCACTCCTATTTAAGCAATATTGTAACTTAAGCTTAAGTGTAATTTCTGTAAAGAGTGTTAAAAATTGTTCTGTATTTACATGTGTAATGTGTAGATTAGACAGTCAATCCATAGGCGCAACTGATAAGTGTCAAGGTTTATCTAGAGGGCTCTATTTATAATAGTGCATACAGTACCAGGTTAGGAACATGTCTGTACATTACAATATCATGTCAAGTAGTAGTGTAAACAGATGGTCAGTTTGGGTTTGTTGATATTACTTGTATGCAATGATGGAAATGCCATAAGATCTAGACACTCAATTGCGGACGAAGTGATCACGACACGCAAACAGATATGGCCTTCTTGTCCAATCCAAACAACTGGAAACAAAGTGTATACAGGGCAAAACTACGGACTTAAAAACTGTCCCCTGATTTGCACACTTGCCATATGTGGGGATGTGGAGAGAAACCCCGGCCCTGATACAGGGGGACTGCACACCTGGAAAAAGGGAGTAGTCTACGCGTTTTACAATGTGGTTTCTCTCACGCGACATCTCGAGGAAATACAGCACTTACTTCTGGGGGGATCAAGG